TGTACGAAAGTAAATGTTTCCATTAACTGGAAACAAACATTGCTTAATTCGGTATCTTGTGGAGCCAGGTAATCTTGGTGAGGCATCTCTTAAGATCAAGCCATTTCCATAGTGGAATCACTTACTTGTTGGATACTTGGATACTTGGACGGTCCGTCTTTACGAGATGAACAGACCTCAGCACATTTGCCATTCGTTTCTTTCCATCGCAATAATCGCCCATGCTGGTGGTTTCATCCAAGTATAGTGGCCCGTGGGAGTCATATAGTCATACAGTGATCTGCAAAGTAACTGCAGCATCGTCTACAGCCGATTAACTTTGTTTACGAACACGTCCGCCCAACGTGTAGCTGGTCGTCCAAGGGGACGTTTGCATTCTCTTGGAGTCCACTCTACTGTTCTTTTCGTTCATTCGTCGCTTGTCTTCTCATTATGTGACCGGCCCATCTGTGTTTCGCTGCCGATGTATATTCTTCTGAATCTCGAAGATTTCGAAGATCAGAGCTTCGCATTCTAGCTAGATACTGAGAGTGCCGGTTATATTTTAGAAGACATCGATCAAGCTCTCTGTGGGTAGTGCGGAATAATCTTGATATGGTTGAGATATCGGCCCACGTATTTGCAGCATAACAGAGTGCTAGGACGACCGTGAAACAAAAAGGTGAGCGCAGATTTTCGGGTCCCTCATTCGGTTGGTTGCTTCTTTGACAGGTGCGAATGCGATCCAAACTGCTCTCGCTCCTCTGTCTAGGCCCTCCTTCATGTTGTTTTCTACGGCCGTTGATCGTCTAAGTTATATGTACGAGGTGGTTCCTGCAATCAGAGAGCCATCTAGTTCAATTTTTTTCGCCTTCGCACCATGGGTTTTTCATGAACTGGATCTTTTTCCGACTCCGATCTTTTTTCTTGAGCTCATTAATCATCGTCTCTGCTTCGCTAGTATTTCTTGAAAAGAGGCCAATGTAGTCGGCGAACTAAGGTTTGGTAGGAAGTTTCCACCAATCCGCATGCCTCTCTCATCCCAATTAAGTGACTTCATTATCCACTGCAGTGCGCCACTAAACAGCTTTCGTAATTTTTGTCGCCTTGTCGCACCCATTTTTCTATGGGCATGATAAGAGGTCGATGGAAAAGCTGTATTTTTATGGTGAAGTCCCGATAACAGTCAGGCAGAATCCCTATGTTGGGCGGGTCCACTCCTAGGTCGACGAGCGCTGACAAGATTGCATTCGTTTTGACACTGTCAAACGGCTTTCATAGTCCACGAAGGTTGGGACTGGAGGCAGTTGTTATCCCCGAAGAGCTTCGATGACCCTGGGCACAGTCTGGCTGTGAGCTGTGAAGCAGAATCCTTGTCGAAATCCTGCTTGCTTTACTGGTTGCGCCTTATACAATGTACTTGATATGCACGAGACGATAATCTTCTTGAAAAGCTTGTATAGTACACTCAACGAGCATATCGAACGATATTTACAAAGACCCCTTCGGTTATATTTCTTTGGCAGGATGACTGTCTGCAATGTCCTTCAATGGTAGGGGATTCTTTTCTTTTGAAGGCAGGCTATCATATGATTTGCGAGAACTACATGCAAATTGTGGCTTCCAGCTATAAGGAGGTCGATAGCGACATCTTCGCGTCTTAGAGCTGTGCCTCTTTTTTGCTTTCTATCTCAGCTCGAACCTCCCACTGAAGAATTCCGAGCGACTTTTCTAAGACGGGTATTTAAGGCTTTGAGACGAGGAAATTGGAACGGAAAGCGTTGGTGTAGAAAGTTCATTATCAATTCCAGGCGACAAGTTTCGGTGATCCCATCTTCGTTCATTAATTCCGGCAGCGAACATTGTAATTGCACAGGGCTCGACATTTATTCAGACTCGTTCTTTGCTTTACTGCTCCTAGTGGCTTCTTCTGTCTTATATCGACGTAAATCTTGCTGAAAAGTCTTCTGCAACTGGGATCTATTACTAGCCTTGTTCAACGTGTTGCAGTAGGATCAAGCCTCAATTTCCTTCTCTTCTAGCGCAACTCCTTTGTGGTAATGGAGAAGTGATCAAATCTTTTTGGTTGAGGAACTGAGGCGAATTCAGCACAACTTTTTAGTCCTTCGACAAGCAACCAATAGTCTTCGATCGGGTCTTTCCTAATCTGCCAGTCACGTTTGAATAGGATTTCGTTCAGAATGTCCTCGTCATGTACGACTAGATTTTAGCTTCGTTGTTGATGTCATGAATTTTCTTGCAATTTATGGCTGAGTCAAATCTTCGAGCAAATAAGGTGGTTATCGAAACCAGCACAAAATGACAGGACTACCGATTTGTCAAGCAGGCACCATCTTTTGTTTGCCAGAATGTGGTCGATCTCCGCATAAGTCATGCCGTTAGGAGACTCCCATATCCAGCAGCGGCTTTCTTTCTTCTGGAAAAACGAATTTCCTCGGAAGAGACGTGCTGCAGACTGGAATCCTGTGGAACGGTTTCTATTCTTATCTCTTCCTACTAATCAAAAATTTCCCATCCTGTATTCGCTGTCGTTGACCTTTCGTAGTATAGAGTTGATATTTCCGACAACGAAATTATAATAATCTTTATTATCGCAAGTAGCTTTCCCCAACTGATATTAAAACGCATCTAATTCGTACACTCATCAGCTGCATCGGGCGGTGAATAGCAATTGATGATTGTGACCTTCTTATGACGCGTCATTTGAAGACGCTGGACGGCTATGCGTGGTGAAAGAATCTCGTATGAGTCGACAAGATGGACAGGGGACGGATGGACGACGAAGCTTACGCCATAGATATTCGTGACGGAGCATTATCTCCACGGATAACAAGGGTGCCATTGTTTACTTGGCGTATGTAAGCCTCCCTCTTTTCGTTTTTTGTAGAACGATCACAAGAAACTTGATGCGATCGGCAATCTCAAGAAGGGCGTAAATGTCGGCGTCTGAAGAGACTGTTCTGCCGTTATAGGAACACAGAAGGGAGCAGTCTCTATGATGTGTAGTGCGCGTGTTCGTCAGATTTGGTTCCAGTGACGTCCTGCTAAAGTCCAGATTTTGCGTAAAGTCCGGTCTCTCACCGCCTGACTTCATAGACGGAAACACTTAGTGCGCAGGGTACTCAGGTTGGCCTAATGTTGGTTTAGAAATTTATTCTTCCTTGGAGTCTTGACTCAACCTTGCAAGGACGTATCCAGGTCTTCACCAAGATGTGAATCCGAGGGAAGTACCTTTTTGGCAACGATTCCTTCGCTCTGTTTTCCTACTAGTTAATTCTATTTAATTTTAGTTTTTTAAACCGGTCATCATTTAACCTCAGTAACAATAATCAGCATTATTTTTGATGATGCAGTCGTCTACGCTCTTGAAATGTTAAAAACGGAAATGAAAAACTAAATAGTTACGATGATGTTGAGATATTTGCAAAACTCCAAAACGCAGGTGTCTGCGGTGGGGATCGAACCGGAGTTTTGCAAATATTTCAGCATTATTGTAGCTATATTTCACATCGTACCTTGCCACGAAAAAAGAATAGGCAGTAAATAAAAAAGTACTAAATAATCAATTCTAAAGTTGACTACTGCAACAAGTCCATGCGAAACATAATGAAAAGGTATAACGAGAACAAAGAATTGAAAACGACAATGTAAGAGGGTAAAAATAATAATCTTTACTTCTAAGTAGCCGAACAACGTACAACGGCAAAACGACATTTCTCAAAATAAAACTTTCACTTTTGGTAGGAAGTCCTAAAAGGTGGAAAAAGTCAGCGAAATAATTGGCACAGAGATCCACAAGGAGAACTCATGGGGTAGCTGCGTCAATGAAAGTGCGGGAGCAGTTTGCCCAATGCTAATTTTTTATGATTCAAGCGAGTCTATTGAAAAGAACTCAACAAAGCCGCCTGCAGAAAAGCGTTTCCTCAGTGGAAGCCGCATGAAAGGCAATTCATTTGATGTGGTTCTCACCTAACTAGGCAACGGCGAAATTGCTCCATTCCCGTACTCGATAAGATATTCAAATTCAGATTTAGATATTTGAAAACCGACTTTCATTTAACCTCATCGTGACAAATCAATATGTATTCTCTTTTAGATAAGCTTATAGATAGTGACTTGTACGCTTCGTACTATCTGATAATGATATCGACTTCTACAGAAGGGATTGTCCGGATTAAGCAAATGGTTATCATCGGACATTGACCGCTATCGATAAGAACCCCGCTTTTTAAAACGCACCGCCTAGTGAGCACGCCTCGTTTGACAGAGATACTCCACTGAGGGAGATCCGGCTCAATGAGCGACGAAGACGCCACCTCGAGAACACGAACAGCTGTGGACAATTGACTCGGATCATCGGCTCTGATGAAAGCGAAATTGCCGGAAAGTTAGCCAAAAATAAACATCATTTGTCAACCTCGTGCAAGCATATCAAAGAAAAAATACATATCAGATTTAGATGTTTTTAAAAACTGATTCGTTTTTTTCCATTCTAGTGCTTACTACTGGCAATAGAATTTTTTCTAATTCCATTTCTATCAATGATCACTACTTTAAATGGATACTAGTGAAGTCCACTGCCCGCATTTTTCGCACGTCAGTATCGCTAAGGCGACACGCACCACTTTGCTTCAGTTGCTTTTCGTTCGAGAAGACACAAAAATTACCGCACTTCAATAATGAGGTACCTTATTCCTATTACATTCGTTACCAGGTCATCATCGGGTGGCCCACCGAGTGTAGCCAAGTAGTGATGAGATTTGTTAGATACAGCATTGAATCGCCTCCAATACATTTTCCCAACCACTTGAGTGCAAGATTTTCGTGGAGTCGACGCGAAGGAAACAATTCGCATACACGCAAAGATATCCGTCGTAAGTCGACCAGGCGCAACAGAAAAGTGTCAGCCACTTGGGAATCTCCTACTCCTACTGCACAATTCGAAAATTGGATTACAACATTTCTGATATTCGAAGAAAGTTCTGAAGCGTCATTTCACAATGGGGGGTTTTCAGAATAATCCAACTACACGGATTGGCTCGTTTGATGACAAAAACACAGGGCAAGTAGTGAGACCGAGCTATGTCCGTGGAGTTCATTGGAGGAAGACGTCAAGTATGTGGTTCTAGGCAGAGAAGCAGTGAGTTGCAAAGTGGCATCAGGGAGAGCGAAGCATTTTCATCGCGGTTATCCATTTGTTCTCATGTTGTTTTCATGTATTATTTATTATACACCATTCCTTTGATTGGTTACAAATTAAAAATAAATCGAATCTGCAGTCCTTCTTCATACATATGTTTTAGGATACTTGGATACTTGGATGGCCTGTCTTCACTGGTTGTGCTGGCCCCAACATAAATTCCATTCTTCGGAGACTTGCTGGTTTAGCCATTGTGGTTCCCTGGAGTCCCAAAGACAGCCTAGTCAAAGTCTGCTCCAGGTAGTAACCACCACAGGCAGTCGCAGCACTTGTGGATCAGAGGGAGATTTACCACCATGCGACCTTGATACCAGGACGGTGGTAGATCTTGGTCTTGGCTTACTCTTAACACGGCTTCTTGGTGAAAACCCCGGACTCCTTCTCAGCTTGGGAGACCTTGCCGGGGGAACGAGTCCCCCGCTGTACATCGCAGTCCGACACCCAGGAACACTTCCCTGCCACATTGAGGAGGTAAACCATTAACAGTTGTATATGCTTTAGCAACAATTTTTTTCCAGTATTGTGCAGTTTATATAGAATTGCAAAAGTATTCCACCCACTTTTACACTGTACGATAAAACTATGATATAAATCGCTTTTTTGAAAAGTTTTAAATGTTTAGAAATGGAGATCTCGAAACAGGAGTTTTGGCAAGTTTACGAATTCAAATTCAGAACCGCTACATTGCAAACGCCTCGAAGCCTTAGTGAGGTCTGGGGACAAGGAAGGGTTAACGAACGCACACTACAACGCTGATTCCAAAAGATTTTGCAGAAGTTATTCTGCCACTAGCGACGATGAATTGAAGGCTTTGGTGGAAGCGACGTCGTTCACAACTGTTCAAGAAGTTGCAGAACTCGGTGTAAGTGTGACAACTATTCTGGAACGAATTTAAAAAATTCGAAAGCCTAGAAGGCTCGGAAAATTGATGTCGCCTAGGTGGGGAGCACGTCGGACTACCGATTTTCTACCACATTCCCGTTGCTGCAAAGGTTGAACGAACTACGTACGAAACTCGGTATCATCCACCGTACTCGCTGGAACTCTTGACTATCGACTACCATTTGTTCAAGCTTTAGAAAACTTCTTATTCGAGAAATCTTGCTGAAGCTATGCGAAGATGAGAACAGCCTTCAACGACTTCATCGCCTTTAGACCTACACAGTTTTAAACAAATCGGGTATACAAAATTGTTTCCCGTTGAAAAATTGATGCCTTGCAATGGTTTCTATTTTAATCAATAAAGTTTGTTCTAAGCCGAGATATGCCAACAACGTTGGAGACACAATTTGAAAATCCTATTAATTTCTGTACAACCTAAATAATGTAAATGAATACCCAACAATAATGCATTTGAAATAATGAATGGTTCAATCCCGCCCATCACGCTCACCAAGCCTGCATCAATCCGGGTTCAGCGAATTGATAACAGAGTTGTATAGGGAATATTAACACTGATATTGTATATCAATAAGCCACCACAAGTCATTGCACAAGACGGATATGCATTCAGTCACTTTCTACGATGAAGTCGAATGCACGGCGCATCCCTCAGATAGTGATCAACACTGAGATCTTTATGTTTAACGTTTTGTTTTCTGCCTTCTATAATTTTCATGGCAGGTTACTAAGCGAAATACAACTACAACGTTGCTGAGATATTTGCAAAACTCTGGACCGCAGGTGTCTATGGTGGGGAACGAACGCGCTATTATCCTTTCCGGGGAGTAACGCTCCCCTCTGTCTCTGCTCCCCAGATCAACCCCGCTGACGGGTGATTGCTGTGGCAAAAAGATCGATAGAAATAGCTGAGAGACGTGCGAAACAAAGGACCCACATGGTGTGGTGGTGAACGCGTTACTCCCCGGAAAGGATAATAGCGCGTTCGTTCACCACCATAGACACCTGCGGTCCAGAGTTTTGCAAATATCTCAGCAACTGAGATCTTTATTCTTTATCCCTACCTATAGTTTAAAATAATAAAAATATGTTGACAATGACTTCATACATGAGTGTCAAACAACTAGCAACTGTTTCCCCTATTTTCGAGGCACTATTCGATGTTGATGAGTACGACCGCTACAAAGGCGCAGTGGTCGTAGGTGCGCTGCAACGCACACGTGGAATCGATTCCCGCGCCCATGGTCCACTAAGCCTTGCACCACTCCGACGTCGGCAAATTGGTACCAGACTTCTCTGGGAGGGTAGCAGCACTGGCGCGATACATCGGTATGCCACTGCGAGTCATTGTAAAGGCCAGATATGCATTCAATCACCTCTAAACGATGCTTAATGAAGTCGAGTGCATGGCGCATCCCTCAACGATTGATCAACGCCGAGAGCTTTATCCTGTATCCTTCTATTCGACGTTGCCTGAAACAAGAGTGGCTGAGGCATACTGCAGTTAGAATTTACTACCCGTGAGTTGTTTAGGTGATGAGAAGGACCACTACAAAGAATGTTGGTTTTGCTTCAGCGGACAAATTCCTTGTAGATGAAATGATGACCTGCTGCAATTTTAGAATTATATTTTCGCTCTTTTACGAAAACATCAGCATCAATATGAAAAGTAGAGAAGATGCTTCCAGCCCACCAAGAGTACATGGCGTCGTTCTCAGAATGTTGCGTAATGTGACAATACGGTAGTGATACGAATAAGCACTAATGAGGTCCTATTCACTTCACCGATGTTCCTTTTTAAACACCAATTTAACGCTACGATTTTGAGGCTCTTTCGATGGGCTAGGTACAAAATTCAACATATAGCGGAACCTAAATAAAAGATTTCATGACGAATGATCTGCATGTGATGCCTGTGATCCTATTCATACCGGACAAAATTAATGGTCCATATCTGCTTACTTATATCAAAGTCATAAACAGAAGACAAAGCTGCAAACAACTGCACTTCGTGCACGTTGACTCCAAGGACCTTCCCGTTTTAACGTACGATTCAATAACATGAACGTTGTATAAGCAGGGAGAGTCTGTGGCAAACTTTTCAGGTTACACTATCGAGAAGAGAACACTCTGACGACTGCGTCTATGCGAATGTAATTCTTTTCGAGTCTATATAAGGGAAAAGAAACAATAAGATGCTCGATGCATAAGAAATAAGAAGAGAGTAGGAGAGCATCTGTGAATTTATTTCTCTAGATGGGTTCACATAGGAATAAGTGCACTGGTTAAAAGTATTCTGCCGTGCAAAAAGGATCAGACGTAGCTCGATCTCTCTACCCCAGGCTCACTAACTATTCCATCCCTCCGGGTTAACCAAGAGTGTTTTCAAGTCGTGTCTGGGAAGATAGCACCACTGACTTCATACATCGATACATCATCGCAAGTAATTGCATAGGCCAGATATGCATTCAACCACCTCCACAGTGCTTGATAAAGCGAATACACGGCGCATCGCTCAGAGGTTGACCAACGGGGAATGCTTTATCTTTTATGTTTCATGAAAAGAGGGGCGTTGTTAAACCACAGGCAGGTCTTTGTTGGCTCGCTAGTTGGTGCCATATATTTGCCTCGCCAATTGATGTCATATATTCGACATCGTGATTACGTTGGAAATTCTCCCGGTCATTTCACTGCGTCAAAAATGGTCAGCATTGAAATTCTCAACAAACACTGCTCGCTTTATATATGCAGTTTTTGAGTATAGTTTTTTTTGGCACGTCAGTTTGTTTCGACGGGAGAGTTGCTGAGTGGTAGTGACGGTGTTTATTTCGCGGGCGGACCTAACAATACTGGTGATGGCTCGACCTCACACTGGTCGCAGCAGGTCTCTAATTCCTCCAGGTACGAAATTTGGTATTAGACTTGTTTGGAACAAGTCTACTCCCTCCAATACATTCGGAAACGCCTCTGCGCGGCTATTCCAGCCAAGTCCGGTACCAATTCCCCGACCCCAGAGGGATGGGAGTCATGGTTTGCCAAGAGCGGAATCGAGATAGTACCATGCTCATGATGACGGACGTCACTATCACTTTGCTCTCCGCCCCCTTTCACTCGTGCCATACCTATTGATTTATAAAAAAACCTCTTTCGGGCATGTCACTGCGAGAGACTGTTGTTGCTGAGGTGAGCCGGCCTCAGCTATCATAACCACTTGTATCACCTGTAGTCCTGTTAATCGTCGAGTGACCCGAGCGGGCGCCAGTAAATCTTCCATTTTTTCCTGCCGCGTGCAAGAGTAGCTCAGTGGATTCTACTCGCTCTAGGGATTCTTCGAGCATCATATCTTTCTTCTAGACTCCTCGTGAAGACCATCGCGTCGGTGGTCTTCCTGAAGTACGTTTGACATCCGAAGGAATCCAGTCACTAACGGCTCTTGTCCATCGGTTGTCATTCATATGCATTACGTGTCCGGCCCACCTTATCTTCGACTGTTTGGCGCACAGAACGGCATCTTTGATTCTTGATCGTTGACGCAGATCGGAGCTTCGAATCCCATCCCTTACTTGTGTGGAACGGAATACTCCTAGCATCGTCTCTTCCACTGAGCGTTCGAAAACGCTGAGTAACCTTTCACCCTGCCTATGCAGCGAGCTTGAGCGTGAATGGGGCACGCAAAACTAATCAATTCTTCATGAACATCGTTTCTGTGAGATTTAGTCCAAAACCAATCTTTCCACAGGCTTTATCGAAGTCGTCAAGCATACGTTCCGCTTGGCTAATGTTTGGTGTTATAAGGACGATGTCATCAGCAAAGCGAAGATGGTGCAACTGCCGACCATCGATTTTCACTCCCATATTATCCCATTCCAATGTTCGCATAACATTCTGGAGGGTGGCGGTAAATAAATTTGGCGAGATGGTATCGCCTTGACTAAATCCTCTTTTGACTTCAATGTTATGTCGTTGTAGAATGGTGATATATTGGTTGTGAAACTTCTGTCCAGCTCACGAAGAACCTTTATGTACTTAGTAGGGACTCCTTGACTATCAAGGGCTTCCCAGACTGCTTCCATCTCAACTGAATCAAAGGCCTTCTGTAAAGCGATGAAAGTGAGACAGAGCGTTCTTTTGTACTCTCGCGGTACTTTAATGAGCCGTGTTACCGTGTGGATGTGGTCCATCGTACTAAATCCTCTTCGAAACCCTGCTTGCTCACATGGCTGTCCTTCGTCTAGTGTTCTGTCGATCCTGTTTAGGATGACTCGAGTGAAAAGTTTGTACACGACAGACAGTAAGCAGATTGGACGACAGTTGCCGACATCGTGCAGGTCGCCCTTCTTGAACAATAACACGGTCTTGCTGGCCTTCCACTGAGTAGAGACTTTGCATTCAGAGAGGTAACGTGTGAAGAGCCGAGCCAGTGTGTTTACGAGGATTGGCGGAAGGTTCTTTAGGTGTTCTGGTTTTATCCTGTCCAGACCCGGTGCTCTTCGAATTTTCACCGACGAAATGGCATGTCGGAATTCGAAAGAGAGAACCGACGGTACAACATATCCATCCCCTCTTATTTCATACGACGGGAGGTTAACGTGGTTATCGAAGAGATCTGAGTAGTATTTGTGAATGAATTTCTCCATTGCCTTTTGGTCTTGTAATTGGCGAAGCTTCGGCGGGCTTTGCGAATGCTTTTCCCAGCCTCTGCAGCTTCGACCATTACTGCTGCTCTTCTCTCCTTAAGATCTGCTTTTATCGTGCCTACATTGTTTTGCAAGTTCGGACGTTAGTTCGCGGTTGCTTGCAGCTCGTTCGATTCCGCTGCTCTGGCGTATCAGCTCGAATGTTTCTGGGTACAAACGTCTCTTGGTGACTTTGGAACTCTCAGCTTTCACAGTGCTACCGTGAAGATGTTGAATGAGCCGATCGTATTCTTCGTCGATGTTATCGAGAACGGCATCCCCCCAACAGCCGACTAATGAATTAATAAGTCTCACTTTA